ATAGAATAGAATAGAATAGAATAGAATAGAATAGAATAGAATAGAATTCTTTATTGGCCAAGTGCGATTGGACACACAAGGAATTTGTCTTGGTGCAAATGCTCTAAGTATACATAAAAGAAAAGATACAGTCGTCAAGTCAAGAATCATAAGGTACAACACTTAATCATAGTCATAGGGTACAATAAGCAATCAAATCATACTAGGAAACAGTCAATATAAATCATAAGGATACAAGCGACAAAGTTACAGTCATACAGTCACAAGTGGGAGGGGATGGGTGATAAGGAGTGATGAGAAGATTAATAGTAATAGTAGTGCAGACTTTGTAAATAGTTGAACAGTGTTGAGGGAATTATTTGTTTAGCAGAGTGATGGCTTTCGGGGAAAAACTTGTTTCCAGTTGTTCTGGTGTGCAGTGCTCTATAGCGTCGTTTTGAGGGAAGCAGTTGAAACAGTTTATGTCCAGGATGTGAGGAGGTCTGTAAATATTTTCACAGCTCTCTTTCTGGCTCATGCAGTATGCAGGTCCTTGATTTTAAGGCAGGTTGGTAGTAATTGTTTTTTTCTGCAGTCCTAATTATCCTCTGAAGTTTGTGTCTGTCCTGTTGGATTGCAGAACCAAACCAGACAGTTATAGAGGTTATACTGTTATATGTACAATGACAATAAAAGTGGTTGTTGTTGTTATTATTATTATTAGATATAACCATTTGTTTTTACTATGCCATTTGGAAAACATGTACTAGATAGAGTAACTGCCACCGTATTTGCTACATAAAGTTAAAACACCTTTTAAACCCAACTAAGACTTAAATCTGCTACAGGACTTGGAAAAGTGGATTGTAATGAACAAAACAGTTTCCAAACATAGGTTCAATGAATTTCCCTACTCTTAGAGAAATCCATTTTCCTTTCCTAAAAGCTGAATCAAAAACAAGCTTGAAAAATTGGAAATGCATTTTAGTTTCAGAAATGCTGTTAAAACATCCACCAGTTCTCACAATATTGTTCTCAATAAGGGAAAAATATTTGAAGATAGTTATTCAATTCAATAGCAGTTAGCAAAATGGCCAGTTCATAATAACCTTAGCAGAATTTGTAATAAAGGTGTAATGGTCAGCATAGTAATTGATAGAGCTTCAAGGCATTGTCATACATTTAAATGATGCTATCATTTTGCCAAGCAGCAATAAAGAATGAAAAAGTCAAGATGTCCTTGTAACTACTTTCCTAGCTGGTTAGATATTAAAACTCTAGAACTAATTGGGTAACCAGATATGTCACTACTCAGGCGTAAATCCACTGAGTTCATTGTCTGAGCATAGGATTATAAATCTGGAGGAAATAACTCTGAAGAGAAAAAATATACTGAAAAGAATTATCTTCTATAAAACAGCCTGGGTAATGAATGCTTCTCATAACCTGTTTACACTGACTGTAAAATATTGTAATTTTATCTCCCATATAATAAAACATGGATTAAATTATGTATGTGAAACAGTCATGGATTTTATGACTATTGCTTGGTAATCTATGAAGTCTTAGCCAGCTGATGATAATAACATTGAAAAGGATGTCCATTAAGGAGATAATGCCCAACTCCTGCAAGGACATGGACAATACTGAGTACTGAAAAGGGACTGTGTTCAAATCAAAAGAAAACAAATTGAACTAGAAAATTGACTAGTTTGGTACATTACTGGTACTTCAACAATTTAATCATCTAAGAATACTCACTCACTTACAGGAAGCCTCAACCCTATAAAAAGCTATATCAACTAATATTATCCCTAATTTAACCTTCAAAAGGTACTGTGCCCACTACTTAGAGATGTATTACATCTAAAAAAGCTTATCTTTTTACCAATATTCATCAACCTAATTATTTCTGAACTCATATAAATGAAATTTAATAAATTACGAGCCTATAGTCTTCTACTAGTGATACACACGTACTAAATTTCTTTTTTAAAAAACACCTGTTTATTAAAGAAGAAATGAAAGGATTGTTACTCTCTATATTTTGACTGGTAATATTAAAAGCTTTGAATGGTTTATTCAGTGCACCACCTTGTCTTCTCCATTCTATCGTAATATTGGAGCAGGTAGCCAATAACCATAACAGCCT